TTTTTTTTTTTTTTTTTTTTTTTTTTTTTTTTGTATTCTCTGGTAGATCTAGTTCTTTCATTTCTCTATATGAAAGCACAGTTTCTTACCGAAAAAAATAATAAGTTTCACGTTTTTTCCCATCTATGAGAGTAAATTAGATCTCAATAAGCAAATTAATTAGTATTATTACAATCTTATTGAGAACGAACAAACAAACACACAAAAATAAGAAGATTAACTAATGGAAAAGAAACTATCAATTTCATGAGACGTGTTCAACTCAAGAACAAATACTGAGTTAAAGACAAATTCAAGTCCGCTCCTTCTCTCGCTGCATATATTCCCAAAATTCATATTAAATAAAATGACGAACAAACTTTTGTAATTAGCTATAAATAATGGCACACTGCAACATTTATTGCAGCCCCAATCCCTCAAGCTACGAGCCTACTTTAGAGGGAGAATTACAATGTTACCTTCAAACTATCGAGTAACAATGATGGCATATGTTAGCCTATATATCAAAACATACTAAAATTGTACTCAAAATGATGAGATCAACAGGTATCAGGAGTTACCAATGGAGTTTTGATGCTAAAATAGTAATTACCTCCTGAGGAAGACCATTCCAGCCACTCAAACCTGTGGTACTAACATTAGATATAAGGTTTGAAGAAGCCATTGGACTAGGACTTCTATGCCGAAGCCTATCGAGGTCGCAGAAACCCTGGTTGGACATCATTCCAGAAACCCGCAATATTTCTGCATTTAAAGAGCTTGCTGTTAGAAGTTACCGACAGAATTGAAAAGCAGAAACATACCAAAAGGAAGATATAGAAATATATTTGTGCATTAAGTACAGAGAAGAATACTTATAAACAAAACCGAACTCTATAACAAGATCAATTAGGAAGTGCAAACAAATACTATGCTGTTCAGAGCAGGATGAAGTTCATCAACACCCAATATGGCAATTTAAATGGAGGTTGAAACTTGAGCCTTGGAGCATTACGTGACTATCAAACACCAAAGAATCCAAGGACAACTCCGTAAGTTCGAACAGCACTAGACTTAGAACTCAAAAATGCAAGAGGTACAACCTAACGAATAGATCCTGATCGAGGAAGCTCTTACACAAGGTCTACTAAGAGCACCGTTTTTTTTTATTCACACTTTGAGTTCTAAAACTACTACATATTTCGGGGCCTTAAATGATTAGCCTTCACTTGAAAAGCTTTACCACATTCAACATCCAGCCTTCAGTTCTTATGTCATAGACTAAGTTATAGTGAATGACCAAAAAAGAACAGATTGTCAGCATGAGATTGTCGCATCACCAATTTAGATGAATTCAAACCTCCACTACTGATGAATAGATTATATATTGGGTCCAAATGGAACCATCACTTCATGATACAGCTAAGATTTGAAGACGAAGTCCACTTGTTTCATTCTTTACAATATTTTCAAATTATAAATAATCTTTATTTTTTCAAAATTACACATTATTGTAAATAATTCAAAATTACTTTTAGAGTAGAAAATTCGTTAAAATGTTAAATGAAAGGTCGGGATTCGCACCAAAAAAAATCATTTTGGTGTCACAATCGCACTTTGTCAGGACTCGCAACGTTATTGTGCACCACTTATTCTCACCCTCAAGAGTCAGCCCACTAGAACTTGGGTCATCTAGTCTCATTCCTCATAAAATATTTTAGAAAAAAGGTGATATAGAGAAAATTTTATTCTCTTATCAAAAAAAAAAAGAAAAGAAAAGATACAGAGAAAATTTTAGAAAGCGTTCGGAAATCGTTAATAGCGTATAATATGGGTAGGAAGAATTAACAACTAAACACTTCTCCTATAGTATATTTTGAGATATTTTAGCTTTCATAGGTGTAGACATGATTTTAGCGAACAATCATATACTCCCGTACTGACATAACAAGAATTAATAAACATCTAATAACATTCTAAACCAAACTTAATGAATTAAACCTTCAATTCTTATAACACAAAAAGCTTGAATATCGCTTTTCGAAGCTTAACGTAAGCACGAGGCTTTTGGTCTTTCAATGGTATATTAGTTCATGACAGTGATACATCAGAAGAGACTTTTGTACAAGATATTAGTATAAAGAATGCATAACTCTCCAAAACTTAAGAAGAAAAATCTAACAGAATGGATATGCATAACATGTAGAACATCGTGTACTAGAAGAATTAAGCACCCAACAAGAGTAGCTAAGATTTTTCCAGCAATCAAAAGAACAGAATTCCACAAAACCAGATTCAAGAAAGTGAAAGAGATTATCCAAGACTAACATATGCACAATTCAACAGTCAACCCCGAGGGCAAAGAGAGCAATCGCTAATGATACTAAAGAGGAAAAAGGAGAAGTTCACCAGCTTCACCGATCTAGACATACACATAAACACCGCCGCAATAATTAAGCACTGAAATAAATTCAGGAACACCAAAAATTCAGAGAAGAGCACTACCTTGATTCAAAAGTCGGCTACAGATCGGAAGAACTTGCATGAAGGGGCCGAACTTCTGATGCTCCGCTAGTAGCTCCGACAAGTACTGACTAAAGATTAAAAAACAAAGAACCAAAGGGGGGATTGATTATTCAATTAGTAATCTCAGCTTTAACAAGCTGAGCAAACTCTAGAATCGTTAAATTAAAGAAAATTCTCGGAAGTGGATTATCGGAAGTGGTACCTGTCTCCATCAGGAGTAGTCCTGATGTGAGGCGAAGCAGTTCTTGCAGGGGAGAAGTTGGTACCGTACATACCGGACATGGCCTTTGGCTATTTAACTGTGAGCAGAAATGGATGTTCTGAGAATCGTAGGATTGGGAAATGGAAGAGGGATGTCGGAAGATGGAGACGGCGATGTCGCCGGCGAAGACGGTGGATAAGAACAGTTCCGACGATGGAGGCGGAGGCGGAGGCAGAGGTCAGGAGGTAAGGAGTAAAAGGGTGGACGCCTGTAAATATACGGAAGCTGAAATGAGGAAAATCTATGATTGTAAATGGTCGTAGTTTTCTTTTATTTATTTATTTATTTTATTTTTTGTGAGTGAAATAATGGAAACTAAAATCAAATTTAGTAAGCTTAAGAAATTAGGTTAAATTAAAAATAACAAATAAAAAAGCAAATATGTCAAGTGGTTATAATGATTTAATTATAAGTTTATTTTTAAATTGTAAATTAAACTTTTAAATCATAAAATTTAAATTTATTTATTAATTTATTTTTAAAATAATTAAATAAGATTGTGAACTTAGTAGATTGAGAGATCTCACAGAGAATAACGAAGTATTTGTTATAAGGGTGTGGAAACTTCTCAGTAACATAAGCGTTTTAAAATTGTGAGGTATTAACGGTTAAAGTGGACAGCTTATGAAAAATAATTGAATTGAGTCGGTTGATGGGTAGCTTGTAGCTTATGGACTTCGGTCGAAGGATGTGAATATGAAATAAGTTGGTATATATATACACGACACAATCATGTCTCATTGTCATCTTGGTTCCCAACAACACGATCCATGCATCGTGATGTCGTCCTATGTCTTGGACTCTCCACCACCTTTAGGCCTTATGGCCTAAGCCTTATGGCCTAAGCGAGATACCCTGTGGCACATGCATCTGACATAGTGTAGGAGAGCGTCTCAGGTGTTTTTTTTTAAAATGTTTTTTTCAAGGAGAGTACCCGACGGCACGGGTGTGCAGTATTGCACCCCCAGTTCATGTGTCGGAGATTGGACTATGCACTAGCTATCTGGAACGTATGTCGTAAATGGTTAGCATGGACATGAGAGACTTTGATGCTCGAGAAAATTCGGATGGATGGATGTTCGAGACGTTCAAATGAGATGATCGACACATGGGTCAATTCCTATCGGATGTGTCCGAGCAAGCCTATTTGGTCAATGTGTCTCAAGACATGGGATGGTATCATGAATCGTGTTGTTGGGAACCGAGATGACAATGAAATGCAACATGTACGTCGTTTGTATATATATATATATAATTGAAATTTTAAATTTTGTTTAGAAAGTTTTTTTTTTTTTTAAGAAAATACATAAATAAAAATGTGATAGCAATAAAAAAAAATAGATTTTTAAAATTGCGATTAATTGAAAATTGAAAATTTGTTTAGAAGTCTGTTTTTTCTCCAATAAAATAAATAAATAAAATACGATAATTCTAATGAAATAATTTTTTTAAATCGTTTATTTATTTATTGCAATATTATTATTACGTATTTGTAAACGGTGTTTCGAGGCTTCAGTCCAGTCACGGTCACACCATTTCAAATCTCAAAACAAATTTCTAAAAGATTTTTATTTCAATATTAATTTAAAATATTTCTCTTAAAAAAATCAGATTTTTCATATATAAATATAAGACGAAATCAATTATTAATATGTACCGAAATTGTTAACATTTTATTTAAAAAATATGATTTGATTTTGGAAGGGTAAAAAAAAAATACTTTTAAATTTTAACAAATTTCATTAAATCCTTATATTATTTTTAAAACTTCCAAAACTCTCTTTAAAAAAACTTAAAAATATTCTTACTATTAATATCACGTTTTAAAAAATCTAATGAAATAACATTAAAAAGTTTGGATAAATCTATGAGGTGGCAAAAGACAGTTTTTGTCTATACAGTAACAAAAAATCTGATGAAATAACATTAAAAAGTTTGGATAAATCTATGAGGTGGCGAAAGACAGTTTTTGTCTATACAGTAACGGTAATTTTTTTTTATAAATGTAAAGGATATTAATATTATTTTTAAATTTTTATGGATATTTTTTTTAATATAGTACTGATAAAAATATTTTTTAATTTAATTGAATGATATTATTGAAACTCCTATGTATTTTTGTTTTAATAAAAACTAATAGTTTTCCTAAAAAAATAACTATTTTTTAAAATCTAATATATTTATGTTCGAAAATGTACATAAATTTTCTAATTTTTATTTATAATTATATTATTTAAAAATTTAAAAAAAAAAAGAAAAAATGTGGGAAGTTCTAGAGACGGAGGAGCCTACAATATTTACCTCCAAAAAATCAAATAAATATATGATTATTTATCTATTAAAATTTAATATTGAATTGATTTTATTTATTTGTAGTTCAATATTATTAATTATAATGCAATTTAATTAGAATAATATATAGAAAACTATAATATCTTAGTGTTAATAAGAAATGCTACAAATATGATATATTAATAATAATAAAAATTAATCTTAATAAATCAAAAATAAAGTTTAAATTTTATAGGATTTATATTTTTAGTTAATTAACTAAATTAAAATTTCCTTTCATATTTTATATTTTTTTTAAGGATTTTTTAAATTTAAATTAATGAAAAAATACAGGAATTTTTTTAGAAATTATATATTTATTTTTTATTACACTTAAACATTTGATTTTTTAAATTGAAGAGAGAGAACGAAGAACAAGTATTTAAAAATAAAAATTAAAAAAAAATAAGTCGGTTTCAAAAATAATTTGTGGCCTTCATTTTTATTTACGGTTGTAATAAAATAATTATTTATCACTTAAACTTATATGACGACACGTGTCCACCATGTAATAAAATAATTATTTATCACTTATCTTCTTTATTGGACGACACGTGTCCACCATGCACGTAATGAAGTTTCGTTAAGGGAGTGAATTGAGATGAAAGTGAACCTTCTTTGCAAATATTGTGAAGTAAAAGGGTCTGATTGTAAATAACTAGATTATATGGCAAACCTCGAGTCCACTAACGTGTGAGATCCCACAGTAGTTAGAAAGAGGAAATAATCCCTCGTGTTGAAACCTCTATGTATAATGTTATTTTAAACTCATAAGGTTGACGACAATATGTAACAAATCAAATCTGATGATATCTATTAGTAGTGGGCTTTGACGGTTACAAATGATATTAGAGTCAGGCAACGGGCGTGTGCCAGTAAGGACACTAGACCCTCAAGGGAGTGGATTTTGAGATCCTACATTCATTGGAGAGGAACAAAACATTCTTTTTTAATGATGTAGAAACATCTCCCTAAAAGAAGTCGCGTTTTAAAATCGTGATGGTGACGGTAATACATAATTAGCCTCTGCTAGTAGTGGGCTTGAGCTGTTACACCACCTTTTATTTGTATACAAATTTCAAACGACGAGGTGACACTCGAAATAATAGATAGGGATATGTACAGGTTGGGTTGGGAACGTGAACCATTTATATAGAGTTCACAATCTAACCCCCTATTTTCAAGTTTTGATATTCTTTTAATTATATATATATATATATATATATATATGATACATTAATAATTAAAATCGCATCAATTTTAAATATTTAATTCTTTTTTAAAGTCAGGCAAGAGTTGAGTTGAGTTGAGTTGTAACCTTATTTCTGATGACTCGACAAAAAAAAAATGTCAACTTGAAAACCGAACTGAATCTTCAGAGAAGTTATTCTTCCAATATCGGGCTTGTCGTCGGGAATTTAGTCCCGATCATCGATAGATACTATAATTTAAGTTGGTAGACTAAATTTGTAAGGGATGGTTTTAAAATTATTTATTAAAATAATATTAAATTAATTAATTAAAAATTTTAATGGGCCGTCTTCGAAGACTGGTCCACTAAATAATTGGACCTTGGAAAGGCGTCGAATACGAGCCCAAGCTAAGGCCCATATGCTCTGCGAGATATATCGTCGAGCTCGTAGCCATCGGAGGAACACCCCGAGATTTCAACAGCAGATAGAGAAATGGGATGGAGATGGCTGGAAGCGGCACTTCCTCTGGGAATCATTGCCGGAATGCTTTGTATAATGGGGAATGCTCAATATCATATCCACAAAGCAGCCCATGGCCGGGTAATTAACTTTGTGCTGGTTTTGATTTTAGCGTTTTTCCCCTCTTCTCTGCTCAATGGATCTCCTATCTCTGAGTTCCGATCATCGATCTCTGTAATCAGTTTTTGGATTTTGATTTCTGTTTTTTGCGTTTGTGCAGCCGAAGCACATCGGTAATGATATGTGGGACGTTGCCATGGAACGCAGGGACAAGAAGCTCGTGGAGAATGTCTCCGCCGGTTCGCATAGTTAATTTTATTGACCTGCATCCCCTGGTACATGTTTATGCGTTCTTATTACTGTTTTTCAGTTTTTGGGAAGGTTAACCTCGGGGTATGAAATTTTTAGGGCAATCCTCTTTCTTGATGGGTAGTTAGTCAATCTCTTGGACTTGGAGAATGTTAAATTTTAAATCTAGTATGATTTTTAATTCCAGGAATCCGTACATTTACTATGACATTTTTTAAAATAGTTGAAGGTAGTGATTGCAAGCTATTGATTTGGATGCTCGAGGTTCAGTATGTATGTATTTATGTTTATAGGAATCAAAACTCTATCGATGAATGCGGTATAAGAAAAAACACACTCTCCCAAACTGGTGAAGGAAATTACGTATCAAAGAATCCATGAAAAGGTTACCCCATGAACGAGGCCACAGGTTCCGTAAGGTCCTAAGTTACGAAAAATTTCTTATCTGTTCCATCTAAAGCCCTTCTTTTCCTTGTTCCAACAAAACATGATGTAGTACTTCAGCGCTATTTTATGCGTCCATTGTGATGCTATGCTATTTGAGTCCGTTGTTGATAATCTGCTGTTAGTTGGTTGGGTAACTAACTGCAGTGACTTATTACCTCATGTATTTGCGACAAAAATCCCTAAGTTTGTAGGAATAACCGGGGTGCACAATAGGTTGAGTCCAAACCTGGCACCAAAAACTGGCCTATAAGTCATCACACAGGGTAAATGACAGCTTCAGGCAATTTGTTTAAACCAATTATTCAACCTTCTGGTTAGTAGGTTCCGTTTTGGCTAAAACCAAAATGAGATGGAATTCCTCTGGCTAATAACGGTGAAGGCAATGATGGCTTGAGATGGTATGACTGATAAATAAAATAAGAGTCGGTGAAGTTAAGATAAAG